GCAGCATACATTTACTACTGAATAAACTTGATATAGACGAAGGAGTAGGAGAATACTTATTGATTGGGGCTGGTAAGTTTAACGAGAAGATAAAATTTAGCAATAAATTGTTCTAACAGCAAAAATATGTTATTTCAGTAGAATGATTAGCAGACTCATATAGCATTCTTGTAATAATAAATATATTGTGCGAGCATGAGTGTTCTCCCGTGTACATGTTCATAAGCCAGTTCATTGGCCTTTCAATGGTTCTTTATTCAGAGAAAACCATCAACATAAGAGATATCAATTTAGATGGTATATTGGAACTGAAATCCACACATCGTGAGACAAATTCAATAAATTATAAGGCATCAATTGAAAATAGAGTTTTTCTCTTTTATTTTATTACACAAGTAACTAAAAATCATTCTTTTTTTTTATTTCTCGGAATGTTTAGTAAAGAAAAATTTATTTTTATTTTATACAAATCACTTTTCTACGAGGAAATTGCAAAAGTTAGAAGTACAGAATAGTGAAAGTATGAAATTTACTTAATTAGTTCGGAATACTTCATACGAAAAAAAATTTAAGAATTCCTTTGTCATTTTAATAATTTATATTTTTTTTTATTTTAAGTGAACCTAATGTAAAATAAACTGTATTAAGTTGCAGATAAATATGTGAATTAATATATATTAACTCTAAACTTTCATTTAAAAAATCATTCTCCTTTTCTACAAATTGATGAACTTTAAAATTGCTGTGTTGTGTGTGATGAACAAAAAAAAAATATCGTTTATGATTAACTTCCCGAAATATTTTGAATATTAATATACTCATAATATTCTACATGAGCTCTTTTCTGAACAGTCAAAGAGGTCTTAATCCCTCGTTCATAAAATAAATAGTTTATCATGTTCACAAAGTATATTTTCACTTATGCAGATAGTTTAGGGAAATAGGTAATCTAGAAACCGGACACAAATTATAATTATGCTTATAATTAAATGTATGCGTAATGTTTGTCATCCTAAAAAGAAATTAAATGTTGGGGCTTAATTTAAAATGCTGCCAGCGTTTTGATAATTGTATTTTTTTCTGATTGTGTTGTTTCTTAAACTACGATGAAAAAACTCTATACAGTAGAAATATTTCTTTTCACGTTATTTTTCCCTTCTAAACTAGATTAACTAAAAGAAAGTGCATCAGCATTTTTTTAACAATCAGAATTCCACTTCATTTTCTTTTATAACGTTCTTTTCGTATTTTCGTTACTAATTTTTCAGATATTTTAATATTTCCTGCTTCTTCAAGACCAATAATAATAATAATAATTGCAGATTTAAGTGAAAGATCATTTTTTTTCTTATTTTCTTATCAATTCAGCCATTCTCTTTCAGTCTAAAATATTACGGTATGCACATTCTCTCTATCTCTCTTTTTCTTAAATCAATTATATATATATATATATATAAGAGCATACCTGCCTTCCTTTACTCTTTACTGAAAATTTGCAATAATTAAAACTGTGTAAAAAATGTTAATTAGATGATCAAGGCAACCGATTTTTAATTTAGCGGTTTAGAATCACATAAGGAGATTTGTTATTCAAACACTAATTTTTAAAATTTATATAATAGCGTTTCCTTTATAATATTATTAAAAATAATATTTTACAGATATTACATTTAATTTTTTTGCCCTGCACAGGAAGCAACCCATTTCAAGGACCACCACCGTTATTCATTTCAAGCCCTCAACATAACAGAGAATTCAAAATTAATGATGAGAATGCTTATATTGTCTTCGTAGCTGCTTCCACGAGAACTCAGTACGAAGGTTTTAATATTACCTGGCGATACAATGGTACGTCTAGATATTATTTTAATTAGAAATATTTATTAATTTCAGGAACTGAAATTTATTAATACTTTTAAATCATTTTAAAAATATTAAGAATACTTTTTTCACTTGATATATACGTAGAGTTTGTTTTGGTTTTTTACCCCAATTTAGTATAATTTCTACAAAAGGCCATCGATTTTGTACTGTGAATATATTGAAACTCCTGTTTGCTAATTATTGTAAAAACTAGAATGAACTTTAAGGTAACTCCAAATATAATTTTTAAGCATATTAAGATTTTTGCTTGATTACATTGAACTCAAAATAATATAACGAAAGTTTGTGTTTATTTTCGTACCTCATATTCTCAAACGTGGTTTTTGCCTGCTTCGTTTTGAAGTAGGCATGTTCAAAAAAATAGTTGATTGTGTTTGTTGAATATCTTTCGGTTGTTTTTAGAAATTAAATAACAAAAGCAGAAAGAATATGAAGATTTGAAAATATAAGTTTAAGAAGGAAAACAAATAACTGCTTTAAAACAAAATATTTCAACAATCAGAAACAAAATTATTATGAAAAAATATTTAGTTTTATGCATACATTAATTACTCTTAATTAAACTAAAGATGGCTTATAAAACAATTGTTTTAAATATATATTAATAAGTAGATATGTTTTTTTTTAAAACGGCTAGCTAAATCGTAATAAATATTCATCCGATTAGATTTTAATTTATTTCATGATTTTACGAAGTGATAGATTATGATATTAAAATATTTGTTATTTAAAAATTTGCCATAATCTTTCTGACATAAATAAAAGTCAACAACTTTGTTCAATTCATCTCTTTATATAAGAAGTTATTTTTAACAATTTTAACCAAACTCTGCGTGACAGTGCATGCTATATCAAACCTTTCCATCTCAAGCTATCCTGTTGGTCCCTGACTCCAGAAATCCTGTCTATTCCCCATCTCTTCCGTCCAACGTCAATCCCTGTCGCAGAATCAGATAAGAGATTGAAGACTGCTCGCCATATTTACCATACTTCTTACTCAAGAGCTAGCAAACAACTATATCAAAGATCATTTCATGATCCCATCTCTCTTTTTTTATGTTCGCTATTTGATTATTAATTATAACATAGTTAAATCAAAAGCAATTGCTGTCCACCACCGATTTCACTTGTAGTGACAACCAATGAATTAATTAAAAAAGAGTAAAAAACCTAGAAATTTAGATAGTAAAAAAATGATGCGATTTGCTATAACTACTGCATACTACACTATTTTGCAAAAAATGATGAACCCCCCCAAAAAAAAAAAAAATAATCTGATTAGCTCGAAATTTTCCATGTAAATTCTTTTATAATGAGGATACAAATGATTAAACTTCCAGGTCAATATTATCGTTAGAACCAATAATGGCGTTCTGGCATTGCCGAAGAACCAGCTGAAGGACTTCAAACGTGGTAATATAGTTGAGTTGTGTGAAACTGGCTTGTCGCATCAAATAAAGAGCTGCTGCTTGCACCATTTGGACAATGATGCACTGAGATGACTAATGAATAAAATAGCTGGAAAGAAATCAATGGCAGAGGGAAACCTCTGAAAAGTCAAGGTACACGGATTTGAGGCAAAATCGTATGATTTTACGAAAGGCCCAAACTACACCAACGGTATCATTGCCCTCTATCCAACTTGCTGCAATCTATTCCATAACACATGTGGTACCTTCTACTAATTACGGCGTTAACCTGTGGTGGTATCGATCTCAAAATAACTTGAAGACATCTTCTTTTAATCACATAATATCATTAGAGTAATCAATCCTGCTTCAGCCTTGGAGAAAATAACCATCAAAAGTAGGGGGAGGTCAGTAGTCTCAATCAGCTTTTGTTTTACAGAGGCTTATGGTCATTACCTCTAGTATAATGGTGTGAAGTGCTATCTTTTACGCATCAGGGTCACCTCTAATTATCTTGCTAATAAGTGTTCAGTAATATGCTAATGACATACTGTGAAAGTTGAGTTACTCTTCATGATACGATATCCTGGCGCCATTTTCCAAAAAAAAGATAATTCCTTGCCTCGTGCGTCTAGCATAACTTTGTAGACATATTTCCTTGTCCAACAAGACCACCAAAAACCTTTTGCCAATGAAGCATGTATAGGACATAGAAAGTGCCAGATTTAGGTTTCCCCAAAATGTTACAGATCTAGACAACACCAAGTGAATACCTAGTAAAATAGCTTTTAACTTTTAATCATTTCACTATCTCTGTAAGATCTTCATACGTTTTTAATTTCTATAAAAACAGCTCGCTTTTCTCCTAATCGTAGAGGTGGAATGCAAAAGATTATACAAAGAGAAAATCAATTACAAATCTCGTAGTTTAAGGTTTTTAGGCCAAGTAATATAAACCAAATGTAAAAAAGTCTGTTTTTAATCTACAACATTGAAATAAATAAATATATTCTTGTAATTACTCAAAAAAACAGCATTAAAATAAACATGTTTTTTCTTATTACATATATTGCATAGATTTTATAATCCTTTGAAATTTGATGAAACCACAGTTGATCTGATTGATTAAAATTGTTTAACGTAAAACCTCTGCAATGCTTTATATTTTATTCAAAATTAATATGTGTCCCTTAAAATTTTTGCTTCGTGTTTGTTTCAGGATTTTAAGGACCTAGCTGATGTATGTAAATATGCGATGAATGTCTCTACATCCACAATCAGAGTAGGAAGACACTGCTGTTTGCATATCGTTAACTTTAATTCTCGAGTACAGCATGACAAATTATGTGATTTGGTTTAATAGCCTCAATCAATTATTTAAAAGTAGAGACACGAAAATCAAGAAACATTCTTGAGATTTCATACATTTAAACAAGTAATATAAAAAAAGAATTTTTAAGTCTCAATTCCTACTTAGGTCAACAAAGAACATTTTTATTTTAGTTACTTTTTATTAAGTAGTTACAATTAATATAAATATGTATATACATATGACAGAATCACAATATTAAGTGACAAAATAGAAAGCGGTTTTCCTTTCAATATATAGCATTTGACTATTTTTGTTACTATTTATTCATAAATAAAATTTAATTATTCCAATAAAATATTATAGTAAAAAGAAAATCGCATTCTCAGAAATTAGGCCATTCCATGTGGGATTCAAACTCACGACCTTTGGATTAGAAGTCCAACGCGCGCGCTATCCATTGCGCTACAGGAACACAACAAACAATTTTCCTTTCTATAGATGTTGTTGAACTATTATTTTTGTTTTTTACAGTTTATTCATTTTTTAATTTATTTAATGAACTTTATTTTAAAAAAATGTATTCATATCAAGTGTCATCCACTACAAGTTCAAAAAAGTGTATTTGAACTTGAATGAATGAATAGGAAGTATTTTATGAACGATTGAAAATTTGAGAACAAGATATATATATAAATATATATATATATATATATATATATATATATATATATATATATATATATATATATATATATATAGGAGAGAGTGAACTAACAGTAGGAATTGAAAAAGGAAATTAAAATAGCTGTTGCAAACGCTTTCTTTTTTTTTATGACAGGAACGAAAATCTCCGTGAAAGAAGATAACGTCATTTCTAAACATGAAGATATATTAGAGTCCATGCCTATCTGTATTTATAATACCAGCGCAGCACTGGCTGAGGTTAGTATTCTCAAAAGTGGTATTTCTAGAGCATCATTTACTTAAATATTATTTAATTTATCGGCAACAGATATGAATATAAGATCCAATTTTTCATGCGCATTAAATTCGACTTTAAAAAAGTTAAAACGAGTATAAATAAATGGTTTTGTTAAAGCTTACAATAATGAAAAATGACAGTTTTTAAAAAATAAAATTAAAAAAAAATTAAGAAAATTATGTAGTTGCTGAGAAATTCAGCGCCTTTTTAAATACCTCTTCTATTTTTACGTTTTAAATATTAGTTACGTATGATTTATAAGCATGTGATTATTAATCGCATACAAAAATAAATAATGATGATTTAATAAAAATAAAAATTATAAAACTGGTAACAATATACAACAGCAATTCCACTTATTGATTACCTAATTTATTTAACTATAAATACATATCTTTTGGTTAGTAAATTTATCTATTATCAACAGCTTGCATTCTAAGATTGTTATACACTGCTGGCCACCGTAAATGCAACACCCTGAAGGAAGCATGCAAATAACATAAAATTTACAACATGCATTAGTGGAGGTGAGATATGCAAATGATTAGAATTTCAGCGCAGACACACATCACGCGCGCCTGTGGCGCCACCTCAAAGTGCTATTTAAGGCTTGGAGATTTCGAATATTTCAAGTTCGGCAATTGTATTTTTCTTGTGGTTTTTCAAAAAACGATAAGTTATGTCTCGTAGAAAACCACGATCAGCTTTTGATCAAGTATCTGAGTTCGACAGAGGAAGGATAGTGGCCTACCGAGATATTGTGGATTATCTTTCAGGGAAATCGGTAGTCGTGTTGGACGAAACCAAACAACTGTAATGCGTATATGTGACCGTTGGATGCAAGAGGGTACGACGGACCGACGTGATCGATTGCATCCACCTCAGTGCACCACTTCACGTGAGGAAAGGCAAATTGTGCGCATGGCAGTGACAGATCGTTCAGTCACATCACGAGCCGTAGCACAGCCCATTGAGTCTGTAACGCATCATTCAGTGTCTGCGCGCACCATTCGACGCCGTTTACAGCAGAGTGGTCTATCCGCAAGACGTCCATTGCTTGGTCTACCCTTAACGCAGAACCACAGACGTCTCCTCCACCAATGGTGCAATGAAAGAAGGATGTGGGTGGCAGAATGGAATGAAGTTGTCTTTACTGACGAGTCACGCATCTATCTGCAACACCACGATGGTCGGATTCGAGTCTGGAGACACCGGGGAGAGAGGATCCTGAACAGTTTCGTTATGCACCGCTACACTGGTCCTGCACCGGGTATTATCGTATGGGGTGGTATTGGATATCACTCTCGCACTCCTCTAGTACACATTGCCGGTACTTTAAACAGCCAGCGCTACATCTCCAAGGTGTTGGGGCGAGTTGTCCTTTCTTACCTTCAGGGCTTGGCCACAGCCATATTTCAAAAGGATAATGCGCGACCACACGTGGCACGCATTGTCCAAAGGTTCTTCGTCAATCACCAGATTAAACTGCTTCCCTGGCCGGCTCGCTCTCCGGATCTTTCGCCGATAGAAAACATGTGGTCCATGGTTGCTCAACGATTGACCCAGATTTCACCCCCAGCTGCCACACCAGATCAACTTTGGCAACGTGTGTAAGCTGCTTGGTCTGCTGTACCCCAAGAAAACATTCAAAATCAATGCCGAGGCGTGTGGCAGCGGTGATCTCCAACAATGGCGGCTACTCTGGCTACAGATTCTGGCAGGAACCACATTTCACAGAAGTCTATAAATTTAATCATTTGATACTTGGTCAACATGTTATCTACAAAATAAATTTTGTTGTGCTGTCTCTTGTCTTTCTTGGTGTTGCATTTACGGTGGCCAGCAGTGTATTTATTAATAATAATAATTTAATCATTACATTTATTATTTATCTTTAAAAATAAAAGTTCATCTCTCTTTCTAATAATTAATGCATTTCAATAAGAATTTCATGTCTTATTTTTAATTATAGGATTTTTCATACTAAATTTTCCACTAAATATTTTTTCAGTTTAATAGGTCCAAACCATTTTTTGAATTTCGAGAGAAATTGGCTCTTATCAGTTCAGAGTATGCCAAAAATAATAGCAAGCACTTCAAAATTAAGTAAGCATTTTTTATAAGCACAATTTTTGGAACTCAATACTTAAATAATCACTATTACAAAATTGATTCACTATTTTCGATTCCGTTATAATTTGATTTTCTAAATTTTCATGTGTAAGAAAGCGTTTAGTGTTAATAAGTTTCGAACAAAGCAAGATTCTCTTGAATAAAGCAAGATTTTTTGTGATGCATTTCAAATTAGATTTGAAAGGGAGATAGTTTTAAAAGTTATTTTTGTTGTGAATTAGTAATTAAAGAGATTAAAACAATTTGAAAACATGATTTATTCGAAAGGTAATTTACGATTTTGTACCACTTAATTACAAAAAAATAAAGTTTGACGCAATTTTGTTGAAATTAAATATAGTGAGTAATATTTTGCATGTAAGGCGAATTTAACATCTAAAATATATTCCAAAAGCTCCTTAAATTAAGTTTCCTATTTTTTTCAAAACAACTATAGATGTTCGACAAATTATTAAGTTAATGCACAAATTATCTTACAAAGTACTTGACATGAAAGAGGTTGTTTTAGTATAAGAAAAGAAATTCAGATACACGTACTGCGATGTGTTCAATGTCATTTGTGTCAACAACTAATGCATACTTGATTAGTATTGAAAACAGAATATATGGAACAGAAAATTGGTATTTTCATCATGAATAGCTTTTTAAAATCAAGTCATTTAGAAATTTTGAACAAAAAAAAAATAGAGAACATTCTTAAGAAGCATCAGTTATTAATAATGCGACAATAGCTACGCGAGCTTTTTGTTTTTCAAAAGACCAAGAAGACAGCTGTATACGCAGCGGAGTAAAATTTCTTCAGTTTTATTAATCAATGCCACCTTGAGTTATGGCTCTTCAGCTGAAAAAGGAGATCCAACACTTGATAGAAGATATCCCACGACTTTTGTTATTTCAGTGTATGTGGCACCATATTGCGATGTTGAAAGAAGACAAATCCATTAAAATTAATATAGGAAAAGGTGAATTCTATCAGAGTCGCGTGTATAAATGTCAGAACCCTAAGCAAACAATTGACACTCTTCTAATACAATACATGCACTACATCAGTGTTTTCCAAAGTATTCCCGGGCGTACGGGAAGAGTTTGGTGGCGATACACGTTTAACCAGAGTTTGCTGGGGATATGCACTGCCCAGAGCTTAGCAGCGACTAATTCTACGTTATCATGAGTCAAGTCAAGACAGTCTTGTGAGGCGTGAGATGGTCCGGTGTGACACGGCGGGAATATACCACACTTCGTTTCAGAGACAACTTACTCCGTTAATAGTTAGTGGCTTCTCCAGGCTCCTGTGTATTTTTTGCTTTTGAGCCATTTTTCTTATAGGAAATGTTTGTTATATGCTTTAGTAATCTCCATTGATTTTGATTATAGTTATAAAATATTGGAATTGGCTTCAAACAAATTCTGAAAAATAAACATAAGGAGTGTACTTTAACATCATTCTGCTTACAAATGCAACAATGCCGTATCGTTTGATAAAACGACGAAAAATATTGCTCCATTCGTCCAAAAATTCAGAGGGAACTGTAAAAAGGGAAAAAATGGAATTTTATAACAAACACCTGCAATGAATATCTACAGGTGTTTTCAAGCTCATGGGCATTTTCCAACAAAAACTGAGAAAAAAACTTCCTTCTGAATTTATAGTTTATTAATTTTTGTGGTGACACATAAAATATACTTTATGTATAGTCTCCTGTAATGTAATGCTAAATTAGTTTTTTCTTTGCACGTTAAAGGAAAAATCTTCATATTTTTGTGAAATATTAAATTTTAGAAAAGTTGTATTTATTAACAGAAGCATGGATTATACATCGCAAATTTCATAAAAATTCAGACAATTTCTGGTCTGAAAATGTGGTTTGGGCCTTCTTTTCCTAGAGACTTTTTAGTTTCGCTCCAAAAAAGCCCTAAGATGAAATGTTTTTGCTATATTTAAGTTGTCTTTCCATTGCATAATTTTGCACGAAATATATTTTACTCACTTTAAAGTGTATTGAATAATTAAACTTGTTTCTCATAGTTCAACGCAAGTGCATATTTTTCGTATATCAGGAGTTATTCCAAAAGATGTTCAAAATGAGGATTTGAAAGAAGGAGCCTTATATGTAATGGTAAAAATTCAAGGCTCTAAAAAAGGTACAGCAGCGTTTAAATGGAATCAATTGGGAGATATTTTAAACTTCTACTCTGATTTCTTTTCTGAAGAAACAAGAAGTTTTAAGGTAAATTTGTCTTAATATCTGTATATTTTTAGGTTTGTATTGTCAATATAAATGTAAAACTTTATAGTATTGTTTTGAATCGGTCAAAATTTAAATGAATGACTTGGAGTTGTTTATGTAAATTTACGA